CCCCCCCCTTTTTAATTACTTTGATAAGGCGATCGAGATTTTACATATACCTTTTTAAATCGTTGTTAAGGGATTATTGTGGTTTCGAAGTGTGCAAGTTTTCGATGACACAGATGCAAGAAGATTCTATTTTTAGATTCCTTTTCGTTGGGGAAAACACCATGAAGAACGTGTATGAGATGTGTTTGTAGACGATCGTTGAAGAGCGTGTGGTGAGATTTTGTTGAAAGTGTCTACTGCCACAGCAATGGATTCTTAAACCCGGCTCGACTTAATCTATAATAATTTGCGATATTGGACATCGTCGGAGTTGTACCCTGTTGCTTTCCAATCGTTTCTTTAAAAAAAAAGAGAAAAAAAAAACACGCCTTAATTGTTACTGTTAAATTAACTGCTCGTCAAAGATTTTATTTCCGCGCGAATTTCTACCACTTGTTGTTCCATTAAATGATGAATTATACGAACAGTGTATCATTACTTTTGATTGCGGAGCTATATTCTACGAGGAATATATTGTATCCGATTGATTTACTGAAAAAAAAAAATCCGCTTGAGCTGCCAAGACTGCTGGAATGTATATATTATAATTTCGTTTCCGAGAGTTTAATCTTAACTACGTATACATACATATATAATATTACTCTAGTCGAAATGTGTGCTATAACGAAAACGACACGTGAGATGGCGAATTAATTTTAGATCTGTTTCGTGTTATTTGTTAATTAACAAAGCATTGGATCGCGAGCGACATGAACGAGCGTTTGATTTGAAAATTCCTTGTCGTAAAGGGATACTCGAACACTGGACCACATTGCAGATAATCACTTTCGATATTTAAAGCTTGTGGGCGGAGGGGGGGAAAAAAGATTCCAAAGAATTTACCAAAATATATATATCGTAAGTAATTCGTAATGGTAAATGAAGACATATCGAAGAAAATCTTCCGAATGATTGAACCTTCCGAAATGAGATACATATTCACATTGCAAAAGAGAATTGCGCCGCGCTCGATATTCGTGAAATATCGGTTGTTGTTCTTGTTGCTGTTACCCGTACCTGTTCGGTTGGTCGCGTTAGCCGCTTTTTTAAACCGTTTGTCGAGAATTCGTGTCTTACCAAGTTTCGATGAATCACACGTTCCTTTACGTCGACGAATTTTCGCGATTAATAACAAAAAGGAGGAAGCAACGTGTTGTAGGAGAACAATCGAACTCGTGAAATATCGTCGTTGATATTTCCCCAATAATAGCCAATCTTTTATTCGGCGAGCTATCTGTTCAATTCGACATTTTATCGTTGAAAAAAGGAGAAAAAGAAAGGAACAATGAAGAAACAATCGTTCAATTAGGCCTCTCCAAATGATAGGTTTATCACTTATAATTTACCGCAGAAATTATTTAACTTCTCTATTCTACGTTTCTGCATTCAGAGAATCGTTTTCTCGCGAGTGATCGCTTTTGTTGACTGTCCAAAGATGTATCTATTAACACTTACAGTTGTATCTTTTATATAGCTCGTTATGATTTATTTATATATATATATAATGTATATATACATATATATTTATATATAATGTATACATATATATATATTTATATATAATATATATATAATATATACACACACACATATATATATAATATTTATGTATATATATGCGCATACTCTTGGTAAAAATTTCGTTGTGACAGTGTAGTTTTCATTGAACGAAAGTTGAGACACGCGAAATATGGACGAGAGAAACGTCTAGTAATATTATTCGTCATTGCATTTGGCCATGTTTTCGATTGTTATATTTATTCATTATTCTATGATAGGTTTATCACTGTTCTAGAGATCTGTTACGTGATTTTTTAAATCGAGCGTCGTTATACCACGATCATCGTATCTTCCTTCCTTCAAGAAAGAAGGGGGCGATTATTATTACTTTATTCTATTTTTCCTCATGGGAAATTCGAATTTGTGGTTCGATTTCGCACACGCGTGCTTAGACAGTGTCGATAAATAGACCCACGTTCACTATTTACCTACATTTTTATTTATAAATTTTATCTGTGCATGAGTAGACAGTTAAGGTAATTTTGCAAGTTAATAAAAATGAATGGTAAAAACTATCTGACGCTCATTTTTCGATCTGTTATCCTTTTCTTCCTCTGCCACAATAAAGAATAAAAAATTAATATATTGTAAAAGAAATTTCAAATAATGCATATATCGATATATCGTTGCGATAAATCACAGAGGGCGTACAAAACACTTTCATTTCTTTTTTCCAAGATCGATATTGTAGAACACGAGCTACAAAGATGCTATCTATTCGTTATTCTATGAAACGTTTATGTAGTTGCATCGTACGCTTAAGCGATAACGTTGAAAGTTACATGAAAATGGTAAAGGACATTCACAAGTTCCTAAATCATTCAATGAAAAATACAAAGATACAGAAACTTTAAATTGAAAAGAACAGATTTATGAAAAATTGAAGATGAATATTTGATAAAATTTGTTACAGGAAAACAATATGTCATTGAAAACAAGTTCTAAATTGCCAGGTACATTTAATATACACCATTGTATTTAATACATTGAATGGCATTAATAATATATATAATAATTGTTACAGATGTTCCATTATCACTTTCTTTAATTATAATCGCTGCATTATCTCTATGTTTTATTAATAGTTACAATGGTGAATTTGTATTTGATGATTCTGAAGCTATTGTGCACAACGAAGATGTACAAACTACCTCTTTGATGGATGTGTTTAAAAATGATTTTTGGGGTACAAGACTGACGCATAAGCAGAGCCATAAATCATATAGACCACTTACAATTTTATCGTTTAGGTAACTTAGACTTAATATGTAAAGCTATTCTTTTCTAATTAAATTATATTATTGTAGATTACATTTTTGGCTTCGCAAAAGATTGGTAGCTCAGGATTATCACATAGTGAATATAATACTTCACACTATTGTTTCTGTATTAATGTTACCAGTATTTAATATACTTTTAAACACAAAAGACAGAAGTACAACATTTTATGCTACTGCATTGTTTGCTGTCCATCCAGTACATACAGAAGCTGTATGTAGTTGTAATTGCATAATTTTTCTTAATAAAAAGAAATGTCTTTTGTTTTTTCTAATTTAAATGCATAGGTTTCAGGCATTGTAGGTAGAGCAGAATTATTATGTGCTCTATTTATGTGGATATCCATTATACTTTATTACTATTCAATCTATGCAAGAAGATTACTACACAGATGGCTTAGTATGTGTGGTTGTATTACATCCGTTGCAATTGCAATGCTGTGTAAAGAAACAGGCATTACTACAATGGTAAGGAATATCTTTTTTTTTTATATTTTATTATATCAATGTAAAGATGTAACAATAACATTTTTCAGGGAATTTGTTGTATATATGACATCATAATAGTGAACAAGTTGCATCCACATCAAATAGTATTAAAACCTTCTTATAAGCAAATGAAGAATTTTATCAAACAAAAACGAAAATTATTAATTAGACTCTTCATACTTTTTGTATCTAGTTTGATGCTCATAATTTCAAGATTTAGTGTAATGGGATTTAAAGCACCAAGCTTTCAACCCGTGGATAATCCAGCATCATTTATGAACATTATATCTTTACGAATGTTAAATTACAGCTACGTTTATTGTTTAAATATGTGGCTTTTAATATGTCCTGAATGGTTGTGCTTTGATTGGTCAATGGGCTGTATACCATTAATCGTTAATTCTAATGATAAAAGAATATTTTTTGTTCTCTTATTCTGGCTCATACTTGGTGCTATGTTTATATATATCTTTAATTCTTATCAAGACAACTTTTTAAGGTATTTGTATTATATATTTTGTATGAAATACTAAAATGAAACTGTAAAAAAAGTTTCTTTCTGTTGCAGATATTCAATTATGGGACTGACAATGCTCATTATTCCATTTCTACCAGCCAGCAATATCTTTTTCAATGTTGGTTTCGTTTTGGCAGAGAGAACACTATACATTCCCTCTGCTGGTTATTGTCTTCTACTTGTTATAGGATTACAAAAACTGTGTAATCGTATTCCTGTACAATACATGCTATTCTCTTATGTAGCTTTAGTTTCATTATTTTTTATAAGATCATGGATAAGAAGTGACCAATGGAAAAGTGAAACTACGTTATTTCGATCAGCATTACACGTTTGTCCATTGAATGCAAAAGTGCACTACAATATTGCGAAAAATGCGGCTGATGCAGGAAATTCTACGTTAGCGCAATGTGAATACGAGGAAGCTTTGAGGTAGTATAATCGATTATAAAAATAAAATAAACTTCTCAAGTGATGACAATCTTAATATGTATTAAGTAGATTAAATCCTAAATATGCTCAAGCTATGAATAATCTTGGGAATTTACTCAAAGATCAAGGAAAATATTTAAAAGCAGTAACATTGTTTAAACAAGCTATTGAATTACAGTAAGTCTAATTACATATATATTCAACTACTTAATCACTTTGCCAAAAATTTTTTGTTAAAAAATAAAAATAGTATTCTAATTTTTATTATATTATTACTATTCTAATTTTCAGGGAGGATTTTGCCACTGCATGGATGAATTTAGGTATTGTTTTGTCATCACTAAAGAAATATGAAGAATCGGAAAAAAGTTACTTAACTGCTTTGAATTACAGGAGCAAATATCCTGATTGCTTTTATAATCTAGGTGTTCTGGTTAGTAATATTAGTTACAATTTTAAAAAAAATGAATGTGAAAATTTTAAATGATATTTGTTATTATATGATAATTGATTATTATATGATAATTGTTATACATTAGTATGTATTTGTATTAGTATTTGGAGCAGAAAGATTATGACAAAGCATTGAAAGCTTGGGAATCTGCTACTAAACAAAGAAGTACACATAGAAGAGCATGGACCAATATGATATTACTTCTTGATGATTTAGGAATGCGCGATAACGCATTAAAAATAGGAAACCAAGCTTTACAATACTTACCAGATGACGCATCTATTCATTTCAACATTGCAAACATATTAGGGAAAGCAGGAAATTTTGTAGAGGCAGAAGTGCATTTTAAAAATGCAATATCAAGGAATTCTAAAGATGCTACATTTTATACGAATTTGGGCGTATTGTATCATAGATGGAAGAAGTTCAACGAAGCGGAAAATATGTACAGGAAAGCATTAGAAATCAAACCAGAATTAAATAGTGCAAAGGAGAATTTGAGAAAACTATATTCTCTGAAAACTTCAATAAAATAATTTATTTTTTGGTACAAAAAAAGATGGAGTTCAGTACATTCATATATTTATTTTTCCTTCCACAGCTTCAATATTTCGTGGATACGCATACGCTTTAAATTTGCCGACTTTTTTATCATCAATATAGTTATAGGATTTAAAACAAATATCACAAAAGTAACAAGGATTATGTGGTATTCTTTCATGATCCATTGTAATCCATTGAATAACATACACACCACAAACCATACAAAGTTTAGAAGACATAGGCCGTAATCTAACTATTCTTGGATATATAGATATTCCTAATTCATCATCACAATTAATAAACCTAAAAATGGTTATGGTTAATTAACAGAATGAAGTCAAAAAAAGATAAATCTATCTATTTAAAAAATAAAAGATTGCGTGGAATATTATAAAATTACCTAGCGTCGCTAAACACAATTAAGTGTTCACAACCACCTTGGTGTTTGTAGACCCATGGAAATCCAAATCTCAAGCATAATGAATCCAGTCTGCAATCTTCCATTATGGCAGTTTTGAAAGGACCTAATTTTGGTCTTCTTTGTGCCCAATCAATGATTACTTCACTGTAGTCAACATTTGTCGGACATCTCGTATCATTATAGAAAGTATCTTCGATAAAGAAGAAGCCAGATTTATAAACATCCTAAAATAATGAAAGTACCATAAATTATAAATATAATATAATGTAACTAATTAAGTATTAGGAATGTATGAACTACCTTTGCCATAGGCCCTATTGCATTATCCAGATTATCACTACATTCTTTAGAAATACTGTAATCAGCAACACATGATATTTTATCCCTTAATTGAGCAAGTGTTTGAGAGCCAAGTACTGCTATAATATTATGCAATCGTAGTAATGTACAACATTCACTTTTAGGTGCAGTTCTCCCACGGTGTATGAAAGGATGATAAATTCTAACATATATAAGAATATCATGACCAGGAACAGCAAGTATTTCATTTGTTCTTTCTTTTTTGTCATAATTCTGAAAAAAAAAGAAACAAGCTAAGCAATTGTATATAAAACATGTTTGTTTTTATTTGTATTTGGAATGAGATACTTACTATAAATAATTCACTTAAGTATTTGTAAACAAGGCGTTTGGAATTCTGTTTCAATCGTTGCTTTAGATTTTGAATGGTTTTTAAATCTACATCTGGTGGTTCTTGAGCATCGAATACTTCCTTTTGCCTTGTTCTTCTATTATTGACTAGTTTTGGAACTTCTCCTTCTACTGTTAAATTATCAACACTGAAAATAACTATCTCATATTATTACGGAACAACTTTGGAAGATCAAAGTTTAAAAATAACAAAGGAACCTGCAATATTCGGTCAACATAGATATTTCTTCTGTACTGAGGTCTACACCCATCATTGACATCAAATTATTTTCATCTTTTTTCATAGGTATAAAACAGTCATCTATTAATTTTTGATAGTTGTCAAAATATTCTTTGATGGGTATTTTTGCTGAAGCATTTTTATTGTAAAGTTTATATACATCATCCATCGTAATCAATTAAACGAATACACTGCAGCTGTTTCAATACATAAAATAATCCAAATAGTTTCACAAAGTTCTTTAATTGTTTATATTATGTTATGTTTCCTCAAGTATTGCTTTTCAACGAATCAAAAACTAAATAAATAATATTTACATTTGAAAAGAACACTGAATGTTTGAAAAAGAATACTGATTCGTTCAGCGAGAGGTGATTCTTTCATAGCATTAATTTTATTTTAAAATTTTGTTTTCAAAAAGAAGAAAGTTAAGAGCTCAATTAAATACATAGAATAGCAACTAATTCTAAAAAATGTTCTGTTTTGGACATAGTGAAAAATGCAAGTGAAAATTAAACTTTTACAATTTCAGCTCATAGGTTAACTCATGGGTCGATTTATGGACTTTGAAATGTTAGCATCGCATAGCGGTGAAACGGTGAAACTAAAATCTATTGCTGTCTCTGTCGCACATTATTGTTCTCCTTGTCTATCGGGCGATATATATCTGTCCTTGTCGCACATTACTGCCCTCCTTGTCTATGGACAAGCCAGATGCTGCCATCTAACGTTTATGCCCAAAACTATATAGCGGGATGTATCGTACCTACAGGGATAAATAACATGCTGCCATCTATCGGATTTTCCCTTTTTCTCCTTTTAGTTCCAGACGAAAATAGAAGTGCTTAGATGGCAGCACCATCTGTAGACAAGAAACGCACTAGTGTATGACAAGGACAGACTTATGCAACGTGACAGACAAGGAGCGCACTAGTGTACGACAAGGACAGACTTATGCAACGTGACAGACAAGAAATACACTAGTGAGCGACGAGGACAGAATTATGCAATATGACAGACAAGCGCACTAGAGAGCAACAAAGACAGCGATATTTTAGTTTGACCGCTAGCCTTTCTATGCCCGTGAATCGATCTAAATTTTCATTTGCGAAAAAAATTAATCAAGGCCATTAATTCATGAATTTTTCCAGTTGTATCTCTGTTTCTAGATTTCCAATTTTCTTTTCTACGTTTTATCTGACTTGCAAAATTTACGAATAAAGTAAAATTAATTTTATTCAATGGATCGATGCTTTCACTCTAACGATATTTAACTTCTGGCACAAACAAGTTATATTCATATTTGTGCTTCTGGTAAAATCTGTATTAGAATTTTGGATATCCAAAATTTGGATTAAAATTTTTTTGAGTCTAATTTAATCGATTATTAATAATTATCCTACTGTCACACAAAAGCAATTATAAGCAAGTGGTAATATCGATGCAGTGGAGGGGGTGGCACTGGCGATCAAGAAAGTAGGAGCAAGCACTTGCGGACCGGTAACTATCTCTCGTTTGTGTTCATATTTTCTGATTTTAATTCTTATCAATGTTGGCGCTGTGGTGCAAAATCCGCTTAAATCGAGAAGAATATAAGTTATCGATAGCTGGTAATTTTTATGCTGCAGAAAGCACACATTTCCTAAAAAACCTGATAGATAGCCGTACAATGCAAAGTAAAGAACTATACATTCGTTTACTTATCAATCAAAACAAAAATTACGTATAAAATATTCATATACTAAAAGTTCTTAAAAATAATTCTTTTATTTTTTATTTCAAGATTATCTGTTACATTGGATAAAGAATTAAGGAAACTCTTAAAAACCAAATATTAAAACAAATACCCCAAACTTAATGTGTACACATATGTATGCATATTGAAATTAACTTGCAAATTTTACGCACTTGCAATTATTACGCACCGCTGTTTTATTTATAGCGATAATAATTTACAAGTAGAAATCGAGCATAGTTTGATGAAATGATATAAGTATACTTATATGCATACGTATACGAGTTGTCAGTTTGAGGGAAGTGTGTATGCATTTAAGTAGAATAAGACAATAAATGCTTGGCAGAAGAGCACAATGAAGAGGCGTAAACCAGGCTTACTCACGGTGCACTGCTCTCGCCAATGGTCCGTGCGAATGTGACTCCGCCTCTTAAGCGTGGCCAGCTTTCCCTCTTATTGTTAGTTCCACCGTGATTATTGGCCGTGCTTAGTTGAGCGTGCGCACCAGTGCATACTCTTACGCATGCAACAGCAATGGAATATAATCACGAGAAAATAAATGTATGTATATACTTTCTTGTACGATCACACAAATGCGCAGAAGTACGCGCGTGGCTTTAGTATGAGCGGCCACCGATTGGTCGATCGACCACTTGCAGCCCTCTCATCTTCCATCCCTTTTCTTCTTACATTTCTTCACATATTCCTCTCCTGTTTTATTCTCTATCTTTCTTTAATCTTCTTTCCTCAAATGATGCGTCTCTCTGCATTTTATCTCACTCGTTCACACTGAACATCTTTACGTTCCTCTTATTTATTCTTATCACATATGTAAATATATATACTTGTGCACTCTTAAAACAAACACTTAATAGATGGGTGCGTCCTTTCATCCATACACTTGTTCCCTTATGAGATATGCTCTCTACGCTAATCCGTGTTGTACACATATACATATATTTCACTTATACAAGGGAGCAGGCGGGGGTCCACGTACGAAAGGCTACGCTACTAGTCAGAGAGGAGATTTCTTATTTCTGCTCTGGTAAATCTGTCGCCCCAGTCAGTGAGGCAGCGAAGGGCGAGCCGCGCACCATTGACCGTGTCCGTGCTTCTTTTTTCGTCTCGTCTAGCCGCGACTCCCTTTCTCCGTCTCTTCTCTCTGTCTCTTTCTCTCTTTATTGTTTATGCCTGCGTTTCTTCTTTCATAGTACGCGAGTGTATCACGGACACGATACCCTGCACCGGATTATCTCGCCATTATGCTACCAGATTATTTACCCACTGTTAAATTGTCGCGTTTTCCCGTGGACAGCCGCAAGAACGGCTTCTGAGTGTTTTCCTCCGGTGCGCGTGGAGTGGAGGACCACGAAGGAAAGCGACGTGGTTACTTTCATGCTTGTTACCACTCTATTCTTCCAGTGTTCTCCTGGAGAACACCTGGTTCACGTGTCTGGTTCTGAGTGAACCACTGTGATTGGTCATTGCCTCGATTTCTCCACATTGAAACTGTGAAGCGGTATCATTGATGCTTCTCCTGTGAAACATATAAATATATTCTGTTTTCATTCGTATATAAAAATCGTCTGTCAGAAGATTTTTCCATACCTTTTGAAATGAATCGAGCCATCTGTTCCACGTATCGGTAGGACATGTGAAGCGGAAGGGTTGCTGGTAATTGAAAGAACACGGTGGTGCATGGTGAATAAAAGTGCAGACTATTCGATAAACTTCAAAAGACATTTCTAAGATTGACAAGCAGAAAGATAACACGTACCTAAATCGAAGAATTGGTTCGAGTGGTATAATTAGAAGTGGAGAAAAGTTGGATCGAACAGGAAAAGATCTGCGGAAGAACTGGAGGAATCTCGCGTTGCGTATAGCCGACGGCTGCGAGGCTGCTCTGATGGATCCCATCGTACTAGGTGAGAAATTGTCCTTGTAATTACCACTTAAACACTACATAACAAAATTATAATTACATACTATCCATAAAACATCGTTATATAATATAATATAATGTTATTTATATAATAAAAATTGGTGAAAGTTGAGAAGAATATTCTTGATTTGATGCAATCGAAGAAGAATTGTGTTTTGCCACAACAAATAGCTGGAGAGTGACGGAAATAAATATCTAGATAATTATATTTGTGCAAGTTTATATTTTTCATTGACAAAAGAAGTCAGGAAGACTCAAATATCTGAGGACAGTCATATTTGCTTCAGAATTAATAATAATTGAAGGATGTGAGTAGTTGAGAGATTTTTTTTGCTATCATAAAGAATCTGATCAACGTATATACCGTTGTGATATAATAAACTTAAAGTTCATCGCAGATACTGAATACTACATCAAATGATGTTTTAGTAAAAGTAGTAAGTGTTTCTAATTAATTTTTGAACGAAAGTATAATGTTACATTACCGAGTTATGGATTTCTGTTGTTATTATTTGCTTACACGCCACGAAATTTATTCACTATGTTTGACACTTTCCTTTCCAAACTTTCAGTAACTTCGTGTGACGGTAGAATTCGCAGTTAACGAGGCTGTCCGCATCTTATCTACGACAGAATTTCAAAGCGTGATGTAACTTTGTACACAAGCGATGACTGGCAAGCGTTTCGACGCCAGCCGAACACGGAACTTCTTTTCTTCTCGCGGCTTATTCCACGAGTCCAGGCTATTGAACGAGACGAAAGATGGAATATCGACGGCGCGCGACATGTTTCCATATGTCAGTCAACTTCGACCTAATTGAATTTAATTTATAGTTGAAATGAGACGTGACGCTTGGTTGTATCTTGGTGTGGCGCCGTCGCTCGCTGCTTATTAATTTCGAGCGAATCGCCATAAACGATAATAAAATAGGTTACTGGAATTATCTATCAACGCGAGTGTCAAATCTTCTGACTGGTTGTCTGGTGTCAAATTGACGGTTGTTTAATTGGTGGAGCCAAAAAATGATTCAAAGAAGTCGTATAAAACCTACAAAAACATAGAAATAATATTGGCAAATGGTGAAATAATTCGTGTGTTCGCGAGAATCGATTCATTCATAGAAAGTATACTGTACTCATTTCTCCAGAAATCTTTGACCTTATTGGGCCCCGGATACCCTGCTTGCCTCCTTATCGCTCTGCTTTCGATCTTTCTTCCTTTTTCTCTTTTTTTCCTGCTTCTGAAACTTTCGACAGTCGCAGCGATCGTGTGCGAGACTGACCGCGGTCACGGAACGTAGAACGAATAAATCGGCGTTTTAATAATTATGTCAGCGACGTTTTCTGGCTTGACGAATATCGAAGTGGACTGTCCTAACAAGACAGTTTCGCACACGATTCTCGAGGTGCATGCCACTAGATACCAGCGAAACGTCCAACCAACTGTGTATTTCTGTTACTACCAAATATTTGGAAATACGTCTCCTTTGAT